CTACCTTGCATCTTTCCTGTGTCGTTAAATTCAGCCCCATTCATTTTTTGAAGATTTGTTTAAACGAACAGGCCGGTTGGAACGAAAGAGAGATCACAATTTGTTGAATATCATGGAAAGCGGTCAACCCCTCGATAAAATTTGTTCAGAGCGTACAGACTTTCTTTTAATTTATTCAAGACAAATTTTATTGAATTCAAACCACGGGGAAAAACGCATTTAAGTTACGTTAATGTTGTTATTAATGAGAGACCCATTGCACTGGCAAATGAAACGGTCTTTCTTGGAGTAGTTTTAGATGAAACCTCAACTTGGTGAGTCTCACTTATCTAGCCTAGTAAATAAAACTTCTAAATCCATAGTAATAATTTTGAGATGTAGTTTTTTTCTTTCAAAATCTGCTTTCCGTATGCGAAATAATTCAATGATACCTCCATGCCTTAACCATTGTACTCTAGTTTGGGGATCTACTTACAAAACAAACGTCCCACGAATTGTAATTTTGCAACACGGTGTCATTAGTATTGTTGCCAAGTCCTATTATAATGCTCACACTGAACCTATTTTTAAGAATGTAACTTTCTTAAACATATATGATATAAAAATCACAGCCCAAGAATACATTTAAGCGAAAGTGTAGGCTTTAGCATAAAACCACGCTCCATGTGTGACGCAAACGCATCGTCAACGCAAATATATGTTGAGAAGTGTGAAGCAGGTGCAAAGAACGAAAGATGTACGGCTACATTTCATTTTTTTTTTATTCCAGCTAGCCTCACTTTGCATATGACCGGTGGGCCTGGAATTTGAATTGACCCAGAAATTTTAGAGTCAGGTATTAGAAGAAGCCAAAGAAAATTTAGTATTGTCTTTATTTTTGATCGCTGCAACAAAGATAAAGACTATTATCGTGTCGTTTCAGTAGGTCAACTCGGTTTTTACTGCTTTCGAACTGCGGGCGCAGCCACCGTATGCAAGGCACCTGCTTCGCTTTACAATAGCCACATATATGAAGTGAGCACAAATGTACAAGACAAGTCCAAGAAAATAAAAAACAAAAAATAACAATAAAATAGAAATCAATTCCTTGCACATAAACTCATGCTAGTACAGAAATGATTTTCTTTACATAAATGAAGCTCCAGTGCGATAATCAGTTCAAGTGTACACTCCAACGCAGACGCTCTTTGAGCTGGTCACGCAATCTTTCCTCAAAAAGCGGGTGCTCGTCACGCACGCCATCCATGTTAGGGAGGAGTGTGTGACGAGGCATAAGAAGACTATGAACGTCTGTGTCGAACGGAAAGGGTACATATACTTCAGGGGTAACAAAAATAAATTGACGCATTTGAAACAAATGGTGAACACTCTGTTTCAATGAGTAACCAAGAATGTGCCTACTGCGGTAGCTGTAAGAAAGAATATTTTGAACAGTGCAAATTCAGGAAGTGCTTTCGTAAGTTCGCTACGCTTTCTCCGAAAGTCGTTGTAATGAGTATCGCGGTTAGATTTCGAGATTAGGCAAAGGTACCGAACGCTATAAAGACGCCGTGTACTTTTGTGAACGCTTTACTATAAATCAAAACACTTTTATGGTTCTTCGGCAGCTGAGAAAGGTCACAATTATTTTGCCCTCGAAGGAGCTTGCCCATATAAAGGAGTTTGTTTCACAATTAGCATAATGAAAGTATTGAAAGCTAACTTCCTTTCGTCTTGGTGATTTGGCGTGGTGAAAGCTAAGTATTACCAATGTTTATGCTGCGATTCAATCGGAAACCGTTGAACAATTTGCCCTAAAACAATAAAGGCAGACTTAAATTGCGTAAACGAAATTTTACGACCACGTGATTTATTTCCGGTCTTTCTTAGAATTATAAAACAACAACATGTATATCAAATTAATCATCGTCAAGGCCAAAGGGTTTTTTGAAAGCGTCGTACATTTCAGTTTGCTCTGCGTATGGCAGTTTGCAGTAATTGTGAACAATGACGGATAACCAAGAAGAAACGCAAGGGCAAGCAAGGAAGGAGGTCATTCAAGCAAAACTTCTCCGGGATGTTATCGACGTACTAAAAGGCAACCGGGAAGCTTTGTGTGACCTACCAGAAATGCTTGAACAATTAATTGAGATGCCTGAAACGATTCCCAGAGTGGAAAAGGCAAAAGACACGTTGGGTGAATGCAGGTAGAAAACTTTAAGTCTTTATGCTTCAATCACGGCTCCAAAAGCTGATAGCGGCAATCTGTAACTGAAATGAGTGCGTTGATTTAGACGCTTACTTCTTCGTCTTGAGGGGCGATTTCAATGCTAATTGTGTTGTCGCTTTGCGACTTTTGCAGCTTACACAACCTTGTAAGAAAAGCTCTGCAGAGTTACACCGCTGAATCATTTATTATAAACTTTATCGCTTTTTCATTGGCGACCCTTACTATGCGAACGTGGAACATACTGACTGTAAATTCGATGTTAGTGATTATTTCAATACATGTACAAGTAGGCAGCAAGTGTAGGGTTTTCGCGGAAACTCAAGGTGCAATTGACACGTGACGTCTAAGTCTTATCAGATTTTGGTCAGTTTGCGTACATGCTTCACCTACCATTTCCTCAAGCTTAAGGTGGTCTCTTCTGCAATACAGTACTCAGTTCACCAAGTGATTTACTTACCACATACTTACAAGATAAGTTTATACAATTATTATTATTGTGTATCCTAACAGAAGTGAAGAAGACAAGGTGATACTCGCACGGAGGGAGAAAGAAGACTTGGATAAAAGAGTCAAATTTCTATTAAAAGATAACGATGTAAAAGCAGAAAGGTTGGTAATTATGCATCCATTCATTACATGGGTTATTTTCTTTAGGCTGTTCTTAAGTAATAAATGCGCAAGTGTGGGATGGTAAACACAACAATAGTCAGTGTTAATTTATTCTAAACCACGTTGCACACCTAACTGTCTTTTTACCTCAACCCAGGCTGCCTCTTGTGGAGGCAGCGCGGCCGAGTGGTCTAGGGCGCTGGTGTGTAATCCGGAGGTCCCAGATTCAAGCCCTCCACCCTGCCACTAGCGGGATTTGTTTCTCGGTAGTCCCTGGTTCAAATCCTCGGTCACGCTTTGTAAATAGCCAACTGGTCTGCCTCCTGCCAGTTGGGATTTTTATCTATGTTACGTTAATTGAAATATTTGTTTCCTTTGTTTCAGTGGCATGCCTGTAAATAAGTTAAGCTTAGCGCTTGTATAGCTAAGTGCATGTCCACTATAAATATGATTTACATTTACATGTTGCTTAGAAGGCGGTAGGGAAAACAAAAAAAGAAATAAACATGGCTTATTGACCAAACGTGATTTAACAATGCCAAGAGTCAAGATAGCTGGATATTGGCCAAGATCTTTTTGCGGGCTTAAGGACCAACAAGCAGTAGATGTCCATAAACGAACCAAAGTAAGCCATATCAAACAGTGCTTGACCACAAGCTTGGTCAATAAAGAATTTATTATATGGTACACATCACACCATTTTATTGCGGTATAGAGCGGTCAGTTCAAGAGCAACGAGAGTAGTAGACATATATTATTGTTGTATTTGTCAGGATTATAACATTGGAGAAAACTATCGAAGAGCACAAGGCAGAAATATTAGCTCTAAGAAACACTCAAAGTGCAAGCATGTCCAAGGATGAGAGATAATAACAGATTTGTTATCATGCTTAGACAAAAAGGATTAGTTTCAGCTCAGCCACATGCGCAGTTAAGATTTATAGCAAGGATGGGGTTTGGCAGCAAAGTAGGAACTACCAAAACTATGAAATGTTAAAATATTAACAAAGCGTGTTCTAGGAACAGAACATCACTGAAATATCGTTTTTTTTTGGTGGGGCTTCAATTTTTGCTTCATTTTGAGCATAATACATGTAGGTAATTCTTAGTTATTACCTAACTGCCGGCCTTATCACAGTCTTAATCTGTATCGTGGCAGTATCTACTAGTTACTTGTCTCAGCTTCGCTCAGCTCACCTCCCCTCACCAGTACCTTAGTTTATGGTAACCGCACCTCACCTTACCTCCATTTAATTATCTTATTTTGTCTTATTACCATTCCTTACCTCATCTCACCTCACCTTACCCACAAGGAGCCTTTACGTCCATGTAGAATATGAAGAAAAGATAAACTTACCTTTATCGATCTTGGATTGTGTTTTGTCAGCCATTGGAATTTTAAATACGAGTCAGCCAGAACGAGGTCTGGAGCAGAATTTTAGAAATTGGAAATTCTCGGAAGGTCCTATCGCCCGCCGCTCCGAGCGATTTCCATAACATTTGGGTTCCAGACCTTGCATTGGCTGACCATGTATTTTCAATCAAAGTGGTCGCCACGAAACGAAAGGCACGATCAATGAAGGTAAATTTATATCTTATTTATTATTCTAAACGTATGAGAAGGCTTCCTGTGTCTACCCTACCTAATCTCATCATACCTTACCGATTAGAGCCAATTAGCGGACTTTAACAATGCTGGGATTTTTTTATTTTTTATTTTTGAAAAGGCGCACATATCCACAGAAGCCTCTTTTCGTAATATCCATTTTTCTTGACAGATTGTTGGAGAAAGACAAGAATCTGCAAAAGTTGACTAATACACTTCAGGATAGGCACGTTATATATTATTATTTCAGGGTGACAGGATGTCTCTTAGGAAATATAATCTATTTGTGTTCAATTTGCCCGCACATTACTATCCTACAGTCGACCTTCGATATCTCGAACTCTCGCTAACTTGAAGCTCGCGCTAACTCGAACCAAAATCGATTTCCTCAGAATTTCCGTTACACATTTATTGTAATCTTACCCTCGGTAAATCGAACCTCCCGCTAACTCGAAGCAATTTGCGTTTCACTTCAGGTCATTTTCTATACGATTTTGCAATGCCCATTACGCTGGAATTATGTTTTTCGATACGTCAAAAACCCCCCAAACAATCAGCGCTGTAGTCCAAAACACTGAAAATTTTTGTCGAAATAGTAAAACGTGTAGCAGTAGCCTAACGTTATTCTCTTTGAAACCAGCAAAGTTCGCGGCATCTAGACCTGCTGCTTTGCTTTGATTTGTCCCGTTTCGTGTTACGTCTCGTTGTGATTTATACAGTCATTTAGCAATGTACTGAGCCAGTATCTAGATCTGCTGCTTTGTTTGATTTGTCCCGTTTCGTGTTACGTCTCGTTGTGATTTATACAGTCATTTAGCAATGTACTGAGCCAGTATCTAGATCTGCTGCTTTGTTTGATTTGTCCCGTTTCGTGTTACGTCTCGTTGTGATTTATACAGTCATTTAGCGATGTACTGAGCCATTTTCACAGGACATCTTAACCCTCGGACGTACAGCTAGCTAGTACCCCACCGTGGTACAAGGGGGGGGGGGGGGAGGGAAGGTGGATGGAGCCCCCCTCTGGATTTTCGTTCCGTTAAGGCAGAGCGAAATAAATTTACATTGATTAGATAGCCTTGAGCCTGCTCAACAAGATGATACCATTTTTGTTGGTTATGACGTCATATGACGTCACTTGACCCGCCATCTTGAGTCCGCCATCTTGGATTTTACCATTTGCTTAAAAAGTCGAGAAATAACGAAAATCAAGCCACAATGCTTATGAAATTTACAAATTCAAGAATTTCTGCAATTTGACGGAGAAAAATGGAAAAAACTACAGAATTATCTCAAAAAAAGTCGATTTTTGGCCAGACCTACATGAAATTTGATGGTTACCATGGCAACGTCAAAGATGATTGACACACAATTGACCTATCCAAATTTCCACAGAGAATGAAGGAACAACTGCTGAAAGTGTCAGCCCCATAGAGTACATTGTCTTTTCAAAACTTTGGATTTGTTTGTATTTATTTTTGTTTTTCTTTTGCGATTGCCCGTTCCGAAGTTTTTCATTGCCCTTTTCCTTTCGTTTTTCTCGGCCCTTTTACACTCGCTACCTTTTGCATTTCATATTCTTTCTGGCTGTTGTAAAAAGTTGGGTGTTAATTATGGACAAAGCCTGGAAATGGGACCTTGATCAATTATAGGTATGATGGGCCATTTTACCACCATTTTTGCACCAAAACTGATATTTCGGCAGCTAAAAACGGTTCTTTCCATTGAAACTCTTGGTCTTCGGCCATCGTAGCTTGATTAAACATAGGCACGCAAGGCGTGCAAGAGTTATTTTTTTTGTGTGAAGGGCCGGAGATAGAAGCATTCATGGAGCTGTTTACAGCAATGATTTGGTTAATTTGACAAGTGTTTTTGGTTGCAATGTACAGCAAGAAAGAAACTGGGAATTTATGATGTACATGCGATGTTACATCGGTCATGGTAAGATAGCTAAATAGTAAGCCATAAAATGTTTGACTGAACAAACTACAGTAATCTGACACGTCTCCAGATTAATGTAGATACCATCTTATTTTCTAACAGGCAATTTTATTCGTTCTTTGATACGACCCGCACTGTGATTGGTGTGACACGCGCACATTGCATAACTCCCTCACTCACCGATCACATAGCTCTTCCAACTCCCAAGAGAAATTTTTGCTCAAAAATACTCAAGTTGATTAAGAGACTTTTTCGCATTTTATAGGAGTCGTAAGTTTACCCTTTTTACACAACACAACTTCACCGAAAATAAAAAGAAAGAGAAAAAACCTCTCTGACACGTTGAAAGTCTGATTTAATTAAATTGCACTTTAACTTGGTGC